AATACCTATATTTATTTGTAAAGACATGAATAGTAAGTGTTTGAAATAGTAGTAAATTATTTTAGTTATAATTTCGAATACAGTTTACTACATTAGACTTAGAACAATGACGTTTCTCGAAGTTCCCAAGTTAAACGAGTAATCGAATAAAACTTTTATAAAATCAATAAAATAATTTCGGTCATGAATGTTTAATTAATATACGTAAAAATGATTCATCAAATTATTTAATTAACGTAAATACATATTATTTTTTAATACAAACACGTATGCTTTTGTAATAACCAACATCGCCAAGTGTACAAGAAGATATATTAATGATATACATAGATTTATATACATTATTGTATTTATCGCTGAAAGAAAGAGAGTGATAAAGCACGAAGTTAAAATTTTGGCTATAACGAAATTATATATTTAAAATACTATAATATTGGTATAGATTGCAATAAAAATAAAAACTTAAATAATACACACACTCTTTATTATATATTATATTTACGTGAAAACGTAATGTGGATTAATAAGATTACATAGTTTACTCATTTTTAATACATAAATATAACAATTTCTCTTTCGCTCTCCGTAAACAAATGTTTCCGTTTCTGGCATACAATATAGTCATACTAGTTATTGCTAGTTATTTTGTGGATGTTGCATCGTCGATTGAAAATAATTAAATCGTCACTGTCCTCGTCACACGCGCCGGTTATTGGCCAATCGGAAGAGATGTTCCATAGCTATTTACAATACGTACAACGAGTATGTGTGACAAAACAGGCGACACGTGAAAAAGAAATACAATATAAAAACATTACGGACATCATGAACCATAATAATCTGACGGCACCGCTACAATGTGTGCACACATACGTACAACGTGTACGCAGGGTTATTCGAGTTTAAAGTTATACAGTTTGCGATCGGCCAAATGTGTAAAAGTTGCAGCACGCATCAGTCACTCGTCGAGGCATATTGTAATAGGTGCTGGTAAATAGGTGCATCCTTTTTTGAATATTATTACAGCGCACAGCGTTTGTTCCATCTTTAATCGGGGGGAAAAATAACATATTTCACGGTGATCGCGCCTCGTCCATAATAAACGGTTTTCATAAAGTTCTCCCGCACGTGTTATTTCTTTACGAATTCCGATGTCCCGCGTGCCCACGACAATCGTCACGTGAAATTCGAAACACCCTGTACATACGATGTAATAAAAATCGCCGCGAACATTACAACGCGGCGGTACGTCGACGGTCAGGACAAGCGCGTTCACACGACCAGCAGACGTAGGCGCCTGCACAATAGGCCCATGAGTCCATTGTATGATACGTATTAGCTCGCACGGATTTGCGTGGGCTGTTATGCGTACACTTACACGTGCACACTCGTGTACGCCGTACAGGTATATTGTTATTTTTCTACGCACGACATCATCGCAGGATCTCGCAATAGGAAAACGCCGGATCGTCGTGCTATATACGGGTAGCGCATGAAGAAGAATGCCCACTCGTATGCGTACCGTATAACGGACCCAGCAGTACTGAAATTGAGTCTTAATATGCCAGAGTGGCCTAAAACTATTGATCAAAGGCTTCTTCAAAAATAAATAAATAAATAAATCATTGTTGACTCAAATACTATTTATTCTTCAATATGTGCTAAACGAAATAATACTAATAATATGATAATAATACCGATGAGTTAAGAATAAATCGATGTCCATCGTGACCCATTTTATAATTCATATATGTGAATATATTTATTAATAATATTATATATTCATTATATGAGAATCGCTATTCGATGTTTGACGGTAAACTGTTTTTGATACATGTACATTCTCAGTATATTATTGTATGCCATTAAGAAAATCTGGGACGTGCATCTAATGCTCCCGAAATAAAAAAATCACGGCTTTAAGATCTCACTAATTGCATATCACGCCCCCGTTCAATCCAGCACTGCATACGGCGGGCTTTTAGCAAGTGACTTTAACGCCTTCGATTCGGTCTCGGGTCACAATATAACGCGCACCGAGTTCAGCAGTTTGCTTGCGAAGATCGGTTTACATTTAACCTCGATAAATATAGTGATTTCGATAAAATTATCCGTGAAATAATAATGTGGGAGAGACGACGTCCGGTCGTCGAATATAACGTGTGCGTACAACGTATATATGCTATCGTAATTTACACTTGTATATTATTATAGTTACGTCGGTATGGTACGTACGTATGTATTTTTGCGCACGTGCATACATATTTACGTTGGGTTTGAATGAGAGAGAAAAAACGAAATCGCAGAACAGCTATCGATTGCCTCGGACTACGAGGTGATTGACGTCGAAAAGAAAACACTATTAGAATCGCATGAATATTAAACGAGACATATTATACATTGTAATAGCAGTAGCAGTAACGTAGTGAGGAGCTTAGTGGTCCTAGGGACATAAAAAACAGAGACCTTCTATAACACAGAAATTAAATTATAATACAAGTGCGAAATATTAAATAGTGATTCATGAGCTGAGGCCTAACGAGAAGAGGGGAAAAAGGATGATCTCCCCTGGGTCCAGAATTTTTGAGAAAGCCCAGAAAATAATTAATTTATTACAGGCATTTAAGGATGTGGATAAGGATAAGGATATAAGAAAGAGGTATGGAGTGCTGTGAACGATAACGAAATATAAAAATGAAAAAACATCAAACGTTTATTTTTTTAATAATTTATTAAAATTGATTAATTAAAATTATATACATCGCTAATTATAACACTATTAGTAAAAAACAATATTTATCCCTTAATGCAACAGAGTGTACAATATTTTTTGTCATCTCATCTTTCGCCTACACAAACTGGATGGTTCGAGAGCACGCCACGTATAATTGTCCTTGTGAAAAATATGATGTGCTCAAATCTAAGCCACAGACAGACATCGTTTGGCCTTGAGACTTACTGATAGTCATTGCAAATACCAATTTAATTGGAAATTGAAGGCGTTTAAATTATATTGGCATATCTGTGGGTATAATAGGGATTCGCGGTAATAATATATTTTCACCTCAGAATTTGCCATTTAAAATGATGGCTTCGATGACATTTTTCATTAATTTTTTAACGACTTCGCGTGCCGTTGTACAACCGTGGTGGGTCAAATTATAAAGCAACATAACCGGAGATCAAACTTTCAATTGTAAATTATGCGGTGGCATGCCTGGTAAATCCAATGAGTTTAAAAACTCTGTTGGATAATTTACAGTTTCAGTAGCATCGCAAACTGTATCAATAGATTTGTATGACACCAAGTCTCCTGGTAACAAATGTTGTATCTTGAAATTCAATTCGTTGACGTCCACATTTTTTGCTACTAAAATTGCTCTTTCTGCCAGCCACTCATGATTTGTGTATTGTCTGTGTACATTGGGAAATATCTGGTCAATGAGAGCATCTGACGAATAAATGATTGTGCAGAAATCGGTCGGTAATTTTATACATTTCGTTTCATCTGTACTAACTTTCCCATCTCCAATATCTAACAATTGTTTTGAGAATCTTCCGCACGCAGCTTTTTTTGATTGAATCGCAAGTATCAAAATCGTTCGCTCTCTATCTTTACATACATTTTGATTATGAATTGTTGACAAAGCTCATGACATTGTAGAATAACTTTGTCCTAATCGCGTCTAATCATCAACCGATATGCATAATAATTTTTCGAACTAACATTCTTATTTGTTTTGGCACCTGTTGCGGGATCTTGTTGTTTAATATTTATGCAATTCCCGTATTTATTATTTTATTATTTATATATAATTAAAAACACATATTATAGTGTTATACTTGAAAATTAACTTTTCGAACCTTCATTTGAGCAAACTTGTCAATCATAATATTCATCACTATTTTCAAGAGCATCTTTATTAAAAAAAATCATTTATTCGCGGGAGTAGTTATTCTTTTTCGGAGCGCTGTGTTTTTAGTTTCCTTTTTAAACTTCCACTCAAATGTACTCGTTTAGACATTATATGTACATTTAAATAATATTAGTAAATATATGGTATAACTCCAAAAATGACTGAACATGAAAAGAAAAAAAATATAAGTAAATGTAATATGTAAATATAATTATTAACTTCTAACACGTTTATAAGTAGATAACGACGTATGACGTATAAATCATAATAGATTAAACAAACAGATAATATAACTGCAAAGCCTACATGATAGTGGCTGCTTTAGAAACAGTATTCTTAAAATAGCTGTGCTGTAATTACTATGTACACTGTACAATGATAATTCATTTATCGTTACAACTAATCGTCCGTTTGAAAAACCAGTGACGTGTATTATTAGACAATAATATGCAAGATGAACACTACCGCTATACATTTTTTTTCGTTTCGTATTTTAGATTAAATTATTTTTTACATAAATATAATTAAAAATAAATGTTCAATATTTTTTTTTTAATGTAATAATTAAGGTCCAGTGGCACTCCAACTTGGACATACCTTGGGGACTCCGTCCTAAATACGCCACTGAGCAGTAGCATAATGTCATGATTATGTATGTAAAACATTAGATGGTCGTTGTTAAAAGATCGTCAATTCAAAGCATTTATCGAGTGAATAATATATGCGATGAAATTTCGCGGAGAAAAATCATGCGAAGTATATTATTGTTATTACGTAAACACGCATCATTAATTTCGTTGTCCGTCCTAGAGTGTTCTGAAAAACAGTTAAAGTATCACGAATTATAGTAAATAATATGAATCTTTTGCATAAAATCGGGTTCCAAAGAAAAATTGATTTTTTCTGATTGTCTTCATATTAATGTGTAATATTTGCCGTTGTAAACGTGAAAATCATATGCTAACAATTGAATCATTTTCTTACATTTGTATGCACTTATTATGCACCTCCATAGTAATTCATTCAATGTTTTATAATTGAACACATTTCGTACACGATTAGAATAACCGTTTAATTTTCCAGAATATCCAGAATCACGAGCCGGTGAGAACGATGTCACCAATGTCGGAGATGAAATGGAAACTTCTCGGATCCAAGAAGACCGTGGAAGAGACTTTTCGCAATCCGCACAGGATCAGCATGCTGCAAGGTAAATAATATTTTTTTTAACGATTACGGATCCGTGTGTTGACTGCTATTCCCGTTCAGTGTGAATCGTGCCGATCGAAACTAACAAGTCGAACACGCTGAAATCCCGTTTTGTTTACACGCATTACACTACTATTGACACCGGTATTATTATCCTCAAAACGTGATGATCGGCTTTGTACGCGCGTTCAACGCTAACTCGATAATTATTTCTTCCGTTCACACGTGCGTATTATTGTAACGCGCATTACGCGCTCGGCAGTGCATTGCATTGCATTCCGTCGATACGTGCAAATGTACACATTAATATTGGTGTATATTGGTGTAGGGTTTTCAACTGAACATTTTTCCCGTACGCAATCTAAAATAATGAACGCGCGCGCGGGTGCGCGTTAACATCTCTAAACGACGGACGCGACGCTCACGGACTACTTTTTTATTACCAATTAAAAACAATTCACTATACACGTATGATTATATTATACGAGAGTATAATAAAATTCGGTAATGATTTGCGAGAGTTTTTTATCGGCTACCACCGTAAAAATAATGGCTTGTTTGAAAAAAATAAAAAATGAATAGCTAAAAAAAAAATACACGCATTACGTATGTGTGTATACAAATATACGTACGGTCAGCGAGTTTTTAATTTTTGCGTTTCAACGGTTTTGCTACCTACGCAGATTTTTCAATTTGTGAGTTACGCATAATGGAATTTTATTGTACACACGAAACCTGTCTGCCACACGCATATACCATTTCTGAGACTTACAAAACGTAACCGAGATCGGTATCGATAACAAAATATACGTGTGTTTAGCTCATTAGTTGCCGCGCTGATGTAAACATATAAAATCATCACATGTTTACCGAAAGGTTATTTTGTACCATATACCTGTAATACGTATCGATTTGTAATCTTTTTCACCCATAATTTTTCTATACTCAAAGTGTTAAAATATTTATTCTGAATTTTGCTTTTCGCGCACATGTTGCACTTTGTGTACAAAATATATATATATATATTTGTAACCGCTTAGTAAATCACATTTTTTTTTCTAGGTGACAATGAAAATGCTGAAGCTTATAAGCATCAAATACGCATGATTAAAGAAGCATCGTGCAAAGTTCCTAGGCCTCGTGTGGTCAAGGTAGCTGATGTGTACCCTAGTTCCAACAAGAGATACATACCTTCGTGTACAGTGCTCCACGTATGTGCTGATGATACAGGCTGCTGTAACAGCCCGACATTGAAATGCGGGCCAAAGATCTCGCAACCGATTTACTTATACTTCTTGGTTTACGTGAGTACTCGGCATTAAAAAAACGGCTGTTATCCATTTGCGCCAAAAAAATGAATTCGATTTAGTTACGGACCATTTGCGCCAAAGTTGCTTGGTATAATTATAATAAAGTAATATATTATTTTCTTAAATAATAATCAATTAAATATTCATATTCAATATTTTTAGAAGATATATACGCCAAAATATACTTATGGCCATTTTCAACAACCATTTTCTTTCCTCTTGTGCTTGTCGTGAACTCCATTCTTACGATTTATAATTCAAATAATTAATAAATTCGAGAATATAATTTAGTGTAACGTAACAAATGTCTGATAAAATCACCCTGCCATCGTTCTTTTGACGAATAACGATACCTATATATCCGATAACGAGTACGATAATATCGTACATCATAATAAAACTGATATAAAACTTGTTAGTTTATCTTTTGACGCAATAATATACAAAGCTTTAAAATCTATAAACTTATAAAAATAACTTTATTATACGTTATAGATACGACGTCTTTAAAATATAAGAATTAACCGAGTCGTTAATTTAAAATGTTTACATAGGTAAATTTGGCGCAAATTAATTGTCTGAAAAACATACCTTTTTTTATTTTGGCGCAAATGGGCTATACCCAAAACGAATTCATTTTTTTGGCGCATATGGGCGATGTCCATAAAAACAATACACTTATGCATGAGAAATTCTCCCGAAGCAAGCGTACTTTTGTTGTTTTTTATTTTTTTGTCTTTTGTTTTTTTTCACATAATCCGATAGTTCTAGGAATCTCGAAAGGAAAAAGTTTTAATTTTAAATTTTTTACTACAATTTGTTTTTCAAATATATTTTGGTAATCACACATTAAGTCAATGTTTCAATGACATCGACTATTTTTTAAGGTCAAAATTATTTAAAATTTAATTTTCAAGCACAAGTACGAGTACGTTAAGAATACCATGCAACAGATTACTATTATTAAGTGAATGAAATTAGCAAACCTATTATATTACATAGCATTGCCGTGGAATAACTTACGTTTGAGATTTGGCAGGTCTGTTGGCATTACTCCATTCAACATTTGGCATCATTTTTTACTGTTAAATGGGCATACAAAAACCATCAGAAAACTATAGGATGTTTTTACATGCTACATAAACATTCACACACACACGCATTTATATACATGTATTAAGTTATTAAGTTGATTATTGAATTATATGGATAAATAGTTACAATATTTACACGCACTTCTACAGAGCATTATTTAGATTTTTTTTATTTTTTGAACAACAGCTTCGGCTGGTCGCAATTAATATTTATTTTTTACCGCAGTATATTTTTTATTTGTTGTCAATGGAATTCGGAGTCCAATGTAAGGTGTGTTACCATAAATATAGATGAATACTGGACAAAATGACTATGTTTTTCCTTCTTACATATTACGTACTTAATCGTCCTTGAATTATATTTCAAGTTTGAAAGTCACGTACCGATATGTGTACCGGTATATAGTTATTATTTCACGATCGTGCCGTCTCTACTGCACACGTGCATAACTGGATCCTATACTTGTACGTTTACAACGCAATGGGTATACACTCGTATAGCCGTGTATATCTGTGTATCTCGGCACCTTGCATCACGATGATAATAGTTTCGACATCACGTGATTGTGATTAATAACTTTGGCCTATGACACTTGGGCTGGTGACTTAACCATGACGCCGAAGGAACGTTTAATAATTAATTTACCAACATTTAAAAATGACAGAATTAATGAAACAGAATCGACGCGCATCTAACGGTTCCATTCCGCTCTTTGTTTGACATATCTACATATAATCTCACATAGTCGTTAAAACGTCATTATTATGTTATCACATTATTATTTTAACCAAATGTACTTTGCGAATTCGAGTGTTTCAAAATCATTCTTGCGTGTTACAATATCCGTTGTATAAACAATTTTGACACGAAATTTCCTTTTTTTACATATAATAAAAACGTTTGATAGTGATCTTTTAAACCAATTTTTTATTACATTTTTAAATATACTCGTAAACAGATACCAGATGTTTTATTTAAACATAATTAAATTATTTAACACTTGATCACGGTGCTAAAATTCAATGAACACATATTTATCCGTGTATAAATTTAATAATTCACAGACAATATACATGCTATTTCATTAATAGGTTTACGTTGTAATGTAATCAATAAACAAGGAGGCAAGATAAAATGTATTATGCAAAACAAAATATTAATTGTATTTTTTATAATATTCTTTTCAAATAATTTGTGTTTTCAATTTTATACTAACAAAATAAACAAACTAATTTAATTTGAATTCCATACGGTAAATTATTATGTATTATGATTTGTAATGTTCAATAAGTACTACGCATCCAACATTTGAAGGTCATCGATTCTTTAAAGTAATATTCTACGTATATTGTTTGTTTATCCGGAAGCAATATATATATTTTTAAATAAAATACAATAGCCTATATTCTATAGTCTTTGGTATCCTTTGATATTTTGATTTTTAAATAATTAGCTGAATTATAAACATTATATAACAGTTCAAATTCTATTGTTTTAGGATTATAAGATTATTTGTTCAAAACACCTAAGAACAATTAATATTTTGTATTAAAATAATAACTGGATCATAAAATTTATCTTGGAAAATTCAAACTCTATTCGTATACATGTATATAATCTTTATTAAATCTAAGCTTTACTTTAATGAAGGTTCCTAAATTTTTAATAGGACTAAAATAGTAATAATAAATAATGTATTAATATCGTCATAGATCCGAATTCATAATATATATCTTTATCAATATTTAATCATATTCAACTTGAGTTTACTTAAAAATTCTTTCACTACATCGCTCTCCTATAATTTTCAAAAAAGATGTATGTAAGATTAGAAAACTGAATTATACACAGTTTTAACTTTCTTAGCGTATACGAATTTATATTGCATATATAAAACGCCGTTTGATGAATATAAATAATAACGTCATCTATACTTGTTTTAAAACTTCATAAATTATAATATATATTTATAAATAAATATTCAAAACTAATCTAAACATTTTAATGTTATAATTTTTGTCATAGAACTCGTGGTGTATAAAAAACTATATTTAATTTATTTTGTTAAATTTAAAGTTTTCGATTTTTAACATTACTTAAGTATTTAAAATAAAACTTAATACTTAAAAGGGTGAGTTACTAGTATACTATACTTTCAGAGGTGTTCTCAGGATTTTTTAATGAGGAAAGGAAAAATTATTAAAAAGTGAGTCGTGGAGTTAAGCTCCCAACACCTCTTTTATTTTATAAATACAACAAACAATAAATTACAGCACATAATATTTGTAATTAAAATGTGAAATATAAAAATTTTTTTTCCAAAACTTAAGTTCACTGACTAATGATAGGCAAACCAAGACCAAGATCAAGACTATGACAGTCTTGATCTTGGTCTTGTCATAGTCAAGACTATGACAGTCTTGGTCTTGGTGTTGGTCTTACAGACTTAGTCTTGGTCTTGGTCTTTCAGAGCCATTTGGTTGCACAAAATTTTAATTTTATAAAAAAAAAAAAGAATATATATGCTTTAAGGTCAATGTTAAAGGTTGTTAATTAATATATAATATAATACCTGTCTTGCAGTTGTAGGCACAGCCCCAATCAATCATTATTGTACATACCTGTTCAGAAGTCGGACCCTTAAAGAACTTGTCAATTGCATTTTTTGACGATTACTTTATAGAACAAAGTATTTGTGCCTCTTTCCTATTTACAGAAATAAAATGATTTTTTAAACCTGAAGTGTTTCTATCCTTCATTTGAATATGAATTGTTTTTTATTTCTTTTGTACAATTTACACTTGCCGGATATCTGATTTTTACTATAGATGATTAAAAAAAGTGATAACATTTACTATGTGATGGTGGATTTAGATTCATACTAGTACTATCCTTAACACTAATTTTAATAAATAATTGGTACCTATAATAAATGTATACCTAATTGTTTAAACGCTAACGGCGGAAATACGACAATCGACATTAGTAGTTAGGTAGTACCTATACACAACATACAATTTGATAAGAATAGAAAACAAAATAAATGCGCACAATATAATAATAATAATAATACCCCAAGTAACAACTTTAATTAAATACTGTTATTAGTATTATATTCAATGAAGAGAGTATTTACGGCCCTAAATAAATATTGCGGTTAATAATATGGTTGCATCCAAAAATCGCACACATTTAATTTTAATCCCAAAAAATTCGGTAGACAAAAACCGAACATATTATAGATTGCCAGATTATATCGTATAGCCAAATATTGCACAAAAAATCCCACTATATAATGTATTAATAATAATGTATTTTGTATAGACGAGTTTTGTATATATAATTTTAAAGTTAATTACTACATTCAAAAGCTTATCTTATCGCACGTTGATATGCTCGAAAAATAACCAGAACATTTGTCGACTGAAACGCGTGGTATAACGAACGTTTATGTACATATTGTATAAAAAAAAAGTGTTTTTTATAAATGTAATTTAAAATAATTGATAGTAATAAAGGGGGCAAGTGTTTAATACTTGACGATTTTAAGTATATAAATTATTACATTATTACATTATAAAATGTGTGGTTTTTGGTTTCAAGAATTTAAAAAAGTGTGCGGTTTTTTCCTGTATTTTATCAAAAGTTTGCGGTTTTTAGAGCCGTCGAATAATATACCGTATCGCTCGTATTATTGACTGATATTATTGTAATCAGGGCTCATAACTTATAGCATTTACATATTTTTTTTGAGAGGTCCTAGAAATGGGTACATTTGTTTTAGATAACTAAGAAACTAAATGCGAAATTTTATGTTGTATATTTTTGCATATTTCAACGTATAAGTGCTATTTTGCTTTTTTCTATTTTGCAGACTTATCTTGTATATTTAGAAATAT